AGGTCTCTCAAAGGCTTCTCATATTTGTTCTTCAAGTAATAAAATCTGGGAAAGATAACTACAGTAAGGCCTGTGAAATAAAGTAGAACTTCTTGGAGCCCTAGGAGAACAAATTCCTTTGCTCTGTTTATTGTAATTATTTAATTTTGAGACAGGGTCTTGCTGTTAGTATGGGCTGCCCTGGAGTTTGAAATCTTCCTGCCTCAGCCTCCTGAGTGCTAGGATTGTTCTCTTGCAAAGAAATAGTAAATGTCTTATTTCTGTGGAACTATGATTTGTTTCTCAAAGAAAAGACCCAGATAAACTTGAGTCTGACATTCTATTCCAAAATCAGAAACGTGGCAAACTGTTTGAGGTAAGCCAGAGTGGGGCAGTTGCTCCTGGGGGGTGCATTTCACTGGCTCTGAACCCGTGGTGGACTTCGGGTCTCTACCATGCTTATCAAAGTTGGAAGGAGAAACACGTCAGTTGTACTGCTGTGCTGATTTCTGAAGGGGTAAAGCTCCCTTTCACAAATCCAGGGTTTTAAAATGAAAGCAAAGCAGAAATGAACAAAAAACAAACAATTGCCGTGGTCGATTGCACGCACACAAGAGTCTACTGCCCAAGGGGGCAGGATTGACTCAGCCTGCTGGACCAGGAACGCGGTGCCCGTGCCTGGTGCTGCCCTCTGCTGGCTGGGTTGGCTCAGGACTACCACAAATCCCTTTTCACTTTTTTCCTTTTTCTTTCTTTTCTCTCCTTTTCTCTTCTCATCTTCTCCCATCCGGTACCTTTCCTTTCCCTTTCCCTTTTCTTCTCTCTCTCTCTCGCTCTAGCTCTCCTCCCTCCTTCCACGCTAGGAGCACTCCACATGACCTTTGCCCTCTGACCAGCTTGTAAGCCTTCACTGTCATTCAGTGAATCTCCAGGCTGCACCCATCCGGGCTCTGAACTTCACCCCACTGAACAGCAACTCACTTGCCCCCTCCTCCACCCTGGCGACCTCCACTGTGTTCACTCTTTCTGTGCGTTTGATGATTTGAGGTCATGCATGTATGTGGAGTCCTGTACCATTTGTCCTAGACCTGGCTTGTCCCTCAGCATGCTGTCCCAGAGGCTCCTAGTGTGCTCATGTGGCTGCTTTGTAAATGCAGCACTGTGTTCGCTTGCGTGCATGTGTCAGATTCTCCTCACCCTTCATTTAGTGATGGACGAGGAGGCTGTTCCTGCGTCCTGGCTGTTGTGAGTGGTACTGAGATGAACACAGGGGCTCACATTTTAATTCTATCTCTGGGGCTTTTAGATGAGGCTGCCCCTTAAGCCCTGCATTGCCACAGCACAGTCTGAGGCTCTGTGGTTGGAGTAGGAGCTCTGCACACCTCATATCCCTGGAAGCATCGGCTACTGCCTCTCTCCGTCACCCAGGGGTGCACCTGCATTGTGATGTGACATACAATGGATCAGAAGCATTCCTGAGGGGCTTCCATCTAGAGGAGGACTCAAGCTTGTGGGTAGATAACTCCAACCCGAGGTAGGGGTTGAGGTGTACCTGAAGTTCGGAAGAGGAGAAGCTCTTCTGGCTGGGGATGGAGTTTCCTTGGCAGCCAGGAGAATAAAGAAGACCTGACGTGAGAGGCCCGACTGTACCTCTGTTTGGACGTCCTCACTGCAGTTCCCTTGAAAGCCCACTGTGATGGAAGGAGTAGGAGTGTGGGCTGGGGTGGGGGCCAGAGGTCTGGCCTTGTTTTCTGAAAAAGAGCTCCTGTGGCACAAACATTATGTCTTCCCCTTATAAATACTGGATCAAAGTAAGCAGAAGAAATGGTAACTCTTGAAATTAGGGGCCCCAAATCAGCCTTACCTAGTTGATAAAGACGGATGTCATGGGGCTAAATTGCATGTCCCCAAAATTCATCCGTGGAAGTCTTCCCTTCCAGTGGCTCAGAATATGGTTGTGTTTGAAGATGGGGACTTGATAAGCATCATTAAGTAAGGTGGGGTCATATGGGTGGGCTCTAATCTGTTATACTTCCTGTCCTTATAAAAGAAGAGGTCACAGATACACATGCAAAGAGGGGTGCTCACATCAGGACAGAGAGAAGGCTGCCACCTGCTGCTGAGGAGAGAGGGTGCTGGGGAAGTTAGTCTTGCTAACAGCTTGATCTTGGACTTCCCTCCTCCAGGACTTTGAGCAAATACCTTTCTACTATTTAAGCCATCCGGTCTGTAGCCTTTTGTTATAGCAGCTGCAACAAGCTGATATAATAGGTCTTATAGATTTATAAAAATTAAAACATAGCCTCATATTAAAGCTGGGAAACAATAGATTTGATGCTGGCCAATAATAATCTGTTTATGCTAAATCAGTATCTTCTTAAATACTGATTTGGTCTGTCTGAGCTGCTTTGTTCAATCAGAGTGCTCCTAAGCACCCTACAAGTCAGTAGGGTTTCCAGATGGCTGAACCTATTTGGTGTTTCTACCTGTTGTACCTGTGAAGAGGCATCCTCAGGAGTCCCCTTACACACGGTTGTCAGGATGATTCTGTCATGGTCCACATTCACTCTGACAGGTTCAGGCAGGAAGGAGATTTATGAAGGGATATGAAGGAACTCATAGATCTGTGGAGGGCTGGAGAAAGGTCCCAACAAAGCTCAGCTCCACAGGGCAAAGGGCTTGGCCCGGGGCCCCCTGTCTCTTCCTCTGCCAAGCACAAAGCTGCCTAGATTTAACCTTACAGCCCTAGCTTCTTTTTTGTTTCAAAGCCATTTCTGCTCTAGAATCTTCTGCAGAAAAATCATACCCAGGTGCACCCAACTAATAGACACCCACGTCAGAGGCCAAGCCTCCAGGTGAAGGGAGGTAAGTAAATTTAGCTCCAACTTCTGCGATGGGAGACGGAGGCATTTCAGTTAATAAGGGAAGGCTGCTTAACAGGTAATCATCAGGCAAGAAGGGGCCCTGTGTCCACAACAAGTTGCAGTTCTCCATTTCTGTGGCCACATGGGGCTTTCATTGATGTCTAAGCCTCTAGGATGACTGAATTTATAGTAGACAAATGTAAATTTGAAGCTGGGAATGTTGGCCCACAGCTGCAGTCTCAGTACTTGGGAGGCTGAGGTACCAGGATTGCTGTGAGTCTGAGGCCAGCCTGGGCTATATAGTGAATTTAAGACCAGTCTGAACTGCATAGTAAGACTGTACTTAATACACACACGAGAGAGAGAGAGAGAGAGAGAGAGAGAGAGAGAGAAAGAGAGAGAGAGAGAGAGAGAGAAAATTTGATGATAATCAAGGCTGATAAGTTCTGTCAAACAGCAACACCACAGTTTTTAATGTAAAATTTCCTGTGGTTGCTGTACATTTCCCCCCCTTTTCCCCCCCCTTTTCCCACTTAGCGAGTACTTGTCAATAAATTATTACTTGTGAATAAGTTATCACAGAAACTTTGCATTCTTGGATGGGGGCATCAAAAACTATGAGACCCCACAGTGTTGGGCTGCACTTCCGGCACATGTCCTCATTTCCGGCCGCATCCGCCTCCTCCACCAAGCACACAGCAGCTTCCCTTACTTGGTGACTTTGTTTCCCACCACAAAAGAAACTTGAGGATTGCTTCCGGGTCCAAGAATCAAGAAGCTGGCAGATGGAGGCTGGCTGTCACTAAGGGAGAGCAATTTAATACGGGATACATAGGTGATAGAACTATCTTACAATAGTCACCCAAAGAATCATATACATAAAGAGCGTGCAGGAGATCTGTCTACACACTAAAGACCAAAGAATCCAGCTGAGGGCCTGGGTCTCTCTACAACGTCCTGCACGAGTCCAGCTGGAGGTCTGGAGCCCATCATGATGCTCCCACCCCCCATGAGTCCAGCTGGAGGCCTGGAGCCCATGGCAGTGTCTCATGCTGGCCTGTTGCACAGATCTGTGCTGGGAAGGCCCAAAGGTCAGGGGCAGATGCTAGAAAATCTGCATCAGAGGGATAGAGGGTCTGTGCTAGCAGGCTGAGGGATCTGCACTGGGCCAGGAAGCAATGCTCAAAGTAAGATCCAGAGCTCCCCGAAAAGTAAACCATAGCTATTCTTGGCGATAGTGAGCTCACAAGCTCCTTTGATGAGAAGAACAACTGAGTTCATCAGGAAAGTCAGCACGACAAGCTCCTCCAGGAAAACCAGCAGCTCCCTACAGCTTCCCAAGGGCTTCTAACCCTCTTCCTCAAGTTCTGCCTTTTAGGCTTCCTCAGGTAGGTCACTCACACCCAGCACCATGCCAGCCCACTTGAAGACACCTAAGAGGCAGAACTTGAGGAAGAGAGTTATGGTTGGAGGAGACAAGATACCAGAATAAAGCCAAGCCTATTCCACAAAAGTGCGAGATCGCCCAAGGGTATTCTCATGGTACAGAGCACATGAAACTTGCTTCAAAGAGAAGTTTTGTGAGCATTAGTCAACTCATTCATACATTCATTTTTCTTTTTTTCTCCAGGGGTTGGGGGGGTTATTGGGAATCAGACTCAGGACTTGCACTTTCCAGGAAGGTGCAATGTCATTGAGCTATATCCCTGGCCCTCATTTTTCTATTTTAATAAGCCTCTCTCCCTTCCTTTCTTCCTTCCTTTCTCCCTTCCTTCCTTTCTCCCTTCCTTCCTTCCTTCCTTCCTTTCTCCCTTCCTTTCTTTCTTTCTTTCTTTCTTTCTTTCTTTCTTTCTTTCTTTCTTTCTTTCTTTCTTCTTTCTTTCTTTCTCTCTACCTTCCTTCTCTTCCTTTCTTCTTGCCTGAGGATTGAGGCCAGGACCTTTGCACGGAGGTACATCCCCATCTTTAAAAAATTTTTTTTTGAGAGAGGATGTTACTAAATCAGTAAGTTGCCCAGGCTGGACTTGAATCTACAGTCCTCCTGCCTCAGCTTCTCAGAGTGCTGGGATTGCAGGCATGGGACAGCATGCCCAGCTACAATAATTTCTTAAGCACCTATGAGGTATATTCTTTTAGAAGTCTAAGGAGCACAAGAAGGGGCCAGAGATGCAACAGGAGGCAGGTGGGGAGGAGGCTCCGAAGGCCAACAGCCCAGCAGGGAAGAAAGGCAAGAAGAAGCAGGGCCAGGGCAAGTGCATGGCGAAGGAGGACGAGGCAGCAGCCACTAAGGACCACAGAAGGCCCGCCCCTCAGAAGAAGAAGTGGAAACACTCGGAAGTTGAAGTGGATTCTAAGAAGAAAAAGGTGACAGTCCCAGGAGACTCTGAGGATGGAGGACAAGAGACCAGGAGGTCCCTGCTAAAGGTAAATTCAACTGGAAGGGAACCATTAAGGCAGTTCTGAGGCAGGTCCCAGAGAATGAAGTGTCGGTCAAGAAGCTGAGGAAGAAGGTCTTGGCTCAGTATTACACGGTGACAAATGACTGCCACAGGTCGGAGGAGGAGCTCCTGGTCATCTTCAACAAGAAAATTGCAAGAACCCCAGCTTCCGGTTTTTTTTTAAGATCCCCCTCATTTGGGTGAATGATTTATTTATTTTTTTCCATAATTTTATTGAGAGACAAATAGCAATGAGACAGTTTCAAATCAAATTGATAGGACAGTTTCAATAATTAACACATTGCATACTCTTTTCCTAGTGGTTATTTGCTG